GACTGTGGCCAAAGCTTGAGATGTGTAGTCGCTCGGGCTTAAAGCCGTACCGTCGGCAGTGCTGCACCTAAATAAAAGAAAATATAAATGGTTATCATATGCAATAAATAGCTCTTATTAAACGAGTGCGAGGTCCGTACGGTAAGTTATGGACCGAGTTTTTTCCACTGCCTTATGGCCCAAGCGCGTAGCACGCGGGCCATAAAAAAGTGGAAAAAACGAGGATCCATAACTTACGGTACGGACCGAGCAAACGAGGTTAATAAGATATTTATTATATGGCAAGGCATTGAGATCAAAAAGAGGCGAAGCAACAAAAAGTAAAGTTGACAGCTCATTTCAAACGAGAACTGCATTGGAAGGGCTTCCTGTACGTGCCAAAAGTCATGTAGTGTTTGAGTCGCTCAAAAGGCGAAGTTTTAGTTTACTTTGAAAGAATTTAGCTAAAGTTTAAAGTTTTCTGAAATACTCGTTAACAAAAGTGAGGCTTTATTTTGCAAAACATATAACTGCAAAGCAAAAAGGCATCAAAAGAAGACCTCAAGAACTCAACATGAGATTGAGAAGAAAACTGTCGTACTTCAAACTTCAAGATATTCACAACCAAGATGAAAAAACCTACTGCCTTCCGTTTGTTTTCCTGCCTTTTATTGAGAAAAAAACTCAAAAACTGTCTCCAGAAATGAATGAGAAGCTTTGGAAAATTACGGCTGGCTGAACATGGATAGTTTTCGTCAATTTTCAACGTTTTGACTGTTTGAAGCAGGCCGCCATATGCACAATGGCTGAAGCCATGAAGAAGGCACACTTTCGACTCAATTAAAAAAGGTACTGCCAACTCTCCTGTCTAAAAATACATTCAAATTCAAGTGGGGGTGAAATATTACTGAAATATGGAAATACTTCAAGAGCGGATGAGCCTAGAAAACTGCTTAAAACATTTACGAAAGAAACTACTGGCTTGAATGTTTGATTTGATTTGAATGTTTTAAAAGATCATAAGTACGTACACTCAGTGAACCATTTCATTTTTCGGTCCGTACCGTAAGTTATGGACCGCAAATTGACCAATCATAGCGCGTGAAATTACCTTGCCATATAATAAAATGAATTACCTAAGACAGGTCATCATCATCATCATAATCATCATCATCATTATCATCATCATCATCATCATCATCATCATCATCATTATCATCATCATCATTATCATCATTATCATCATCATCATCATCATCATTATCATCATCATCATTGTTATCATTATGGAAATGTTAGAGTTTGATAAATATCTATCTACGTACAATATATCATTAGCAGTGATTGCGGTTGCTCCAGTTCTGTCCAGTCTCACTGTAGCAGGACCATTGGCTTCTTTCAACCTTCCCCCTCCTTGGCATGTAACATATACTGAGAAATATCACAAAAGTAAATAGTAATAGAGTGCATA